TCCCAGGTGGTGTTGCCAGCACCGCCATGTGGGTTGCATCCAAGAGAAGTGGGCGAAGCTCCGTGGTGTGGCGCAACTCGAGGGTAGAGGTGCCACGGGGTGATCCCAAAATGGTTTGGATCACCATGGTTTCAATACTAAAATCATGACTTGGATGATTTGGGGGTACCCTCTGGTAATTTAACATAGCTATTGAAAATGGTCATTTATAGTGAGTTTTCCCATTAAGAATTGTGATTTTCCATAGTTATGTTAGTTTACCAGAGGGTACCCAAAAAACTTAGGAAACCTATGGAAAGCTCCATAAATCTGGGGATAAAGCCCAACAATCTGGATTCACGATTGATAAACTGTAAACCCCTCACGCCGTGACATCATGGTAAATGATGGTCAGTACGGGTAACTGCACCAAACCGCTCAAATCTGATTTTCAGGGTATGATCTATCCAAAAGCGTTTTATTTTAATGATATCATGGCCTATAATTTTTCTGGATATTCCTGGGAGGTCGTGGATGAAGAACATGAAAACTAAAGAGCAAGAAATATGGTGGTCCACAAATGGGATGATTTTCAACTTTGCAATTCAAACGGGTTGAAATTTTGGGGTACCGAAAAATACTGGGTAAATCCAAATCGAGGTCCTTCGTTTGGGAGGCACAGAGGACCACACACACACAATTTCCTGGGTCAGGTAGCCAATTTGGATCCAGAACGACACATTTTGAATCAGAAAAGAAACATATGTTTATAGGTATGTACAGATCATTTGTTTGTATATACCTTAAGAATTGTTTGGTTTCGATCACACAAGGCCCACAGATTTGCAATCCGCTTGGGGTTAGATTTTCACCCATACCCATTTGCAAAAAAAAACCTTTGTAAGACCATATCTCGCTGAATTGGGAAATGTGTCAGTTGCCTAGGTGTGCGTTGTAGCAGGAGTAAAATTGGCCATCAGGGTCCAGCTGTTCCCATGTTTCACGATGTGTCGCCAATTTGAAGGCAGATTTCAGGAGGTTCTATGTTTGAATGGAACGGGACGTACCCAAAGATCATCCAGCTCTGGATTTATCTGTATATATATATATCCTTCTGTCATATGTGATCCAACATTTACCAACTCATGGTATATAGCCATAATTGTAGGGGTTATATCCCAACTCCTGGTGGTTATAGCCATGGTTGTAGCATGTTGTAGCCATGTCTTTCATAGCCAGTGCACCCCCATCCTGCACGTTGGGCCATGGCAGGACACATCAAGTTGCAGATCTGTGCGTTTGCTTCAGTGGTGTTGCCATTTGGCTTGAGGGGTTGAGGGGGACCTTAGGTTTTCCATGTGAAAAGTGTGTGAAAAACTTCACCCGGACCCCCAATCAATGGCTTTTAGACGATGGACAATTGCGTAAAGTTGCTGCTTTCAGGGTCTTTGTTGAGCCTCTGGGATGTGTTTTTCAGTATTTGTTGGGACGTTTGAAGGTGTCAGAGAACTCTTGAGGTATTTGGAAGCAGTGTGCCACAGTGGTGCTCTTTTGAATTTCTTTGGGTTAGTGCCTGGCTCGCTGAAGAGGTTTTTTCCCCCCCGCCGTAGGTGTTTTTTTCCCCCTCTTCCCTTCACCTTTCACCTTCTTAGAAGGTGTTACTGGCCTGGGCCTTGTTGGTATCATTCTTCCCCAGTATGGTTTTTTGATGTTTTTTGTCTCGCTTGGCCGGCACTTCAACCAGACGTGTCTAGAAGAGGCATGTCTACCGGCTTCTTCCAGCACTGGGGCGTTGGATTTTGGCTCCAGAAATGCTGAACTATGTTGAAACGACCATGATGGGAGAGTTTCAGAGTGCAAGATTCTGGTGATTTCGATGATTTTGCATGGTTGATATGGTTGATTTCCAATTCGTAACCAATTCGTAACCCAAGTCCTAGCATGGTATTTTGCAACCTCGTTTCAGTCAAGAGCATGTGTGTTTATCTGTGTGTTTGTGTGCGTCTAAAAAGAGAAGATATTATATACTGTATATATTTCTGCTGCAGATTGGTGCAGACATGCGCAGACATCCCAATTCACCTCAGCAAATGTGGAGAGCGGTTCCATGTGGGGAAGTCTGAAAATAGGGTATGCGGAATGTATGCGGTATACCCCCAAATATAACAATTTTTCATGGGGAAAATGGTGATTGACCTTCAAATTTTGGGGTACCCTATTTTCAGACAGACCCATGTAGAAGTGTAGTGTAATGTAATATGTCAATCATGTCTATCAAATGTACACAGCTATTTTGGTGGCATAGAATTCACGTGATTCCAGTGAATTTCACAGAGGCTGTCCCTCTTCTCCTTGAGATTGCTGAGATATCGACAGCGCGAGGTGGGCATAGGGTGGAACCTCTGGGTGGAAAAACCGTTTGGTCAAATCTGATCAAGGCGTAGGCATGTTTTTGCTATTTTGATGGAGGAGAATTGAAGATTTCATATGCTGAACATGAATTCTGTCTTTGGGCATCTCAGCTAAGCCAGGGGGGCGAATCCAGTGATACAACTGGGATCCAGTAAATCCACAAAATCTGCTCTTCAGTCATGATAAGCCATTCATCTTCCATACTAGAATAAGCCCCAGAAATCGGAAGCGAAAGAATGGTGATAGCAAGTCACTGGATCTTATCTCGTGGCTTATCCCACTTGTGACTGGCTAATCTCATACAGATGTTGTGAGTTGGTGATCCTGTAAGACATTGAAGCCATTGAAGCAGTGCACCTTTCGGCTCCGTTGCGAACGACGACCTCAGGCCATGGTTGCAGAGTGATGGGACCAGCGAGTTTTGAGCTGGTCCCATTTGGGCGTTTTTCCCGGAGAATGGGAGTCGGAACATGTCGGTTTATATCGCGAAATGGGCAAGCCATTACTATACAGTACTTACCATGTATCTCGCAATCTTGCACTGGACATCAATAGATTTCAATAGATCCAGTTTCTGTTACAACAAGAACGGGGATATGACCAACAAACCGTAGGATTCTCGCAGCCAGCCGAATAGATCAGTCATCAACGACAAATTTGTTGTGTAAGTGCTTTCAACGATGCAATTTCTGGGCATTACACGGGAAGATGGGTCAATTTGAAGGATTGACAGTCAATTTATGTCTTTGCCAGTTTCAAGCAGTTGTCTAATTCAATCCTTTCAATCCTTTGGTGGAAGGATCATCGAGAAATGATTAGCATGCTTTGGAAGTCAGTGTATTTGGGTCTATTTTGGGTTGCAGCTGCTATTTTTGGGGTACAAGATGCAAAGAAAGCTCTGCCAGAGAGTTCTCTAGACTCTGCCTCTGACTTTCATGGTGCTTTCGGACTTGTACAGATGTAAGAGGGGTAGTTGTGTGTCACAAAGCAACGCCTGAACAGTTTGACTGCTGAGGCCCTGCCATCACCGGGCACAGCCCATAGACATGGAAGATTTCAATGTCCGGAAAAGACTGTTGCAAGCCTTGTCAGAGATTAGGGACCTGCTGGACCCCAATCACAGAAGCTCCACTTCGAACTTATCCAACTGGGCCCCCTTGAATCCCTTTTTCAAGGGCCTCGACAAGTTCACCATAAGTCACCCCCTGCATAGTCCCTTCATGTCCCTTCGATCGGTTCCTTTGTGGTAGACTTCAACCCTAATGATCCGGCCAAAGATGCTGGTCAGCAAAAAAGATGTGATGCAGCACACAAAAACGGGTTGTGGAGGCACTAGGTGCATGGAGACGCAATGGCTATGGGTACACATGACAAGACATTGTGAAAAGAGATGATCTATCTCAAGATGGCACGGATTGATATCAAGCAACTCTCTCCATTTCAAACTTGCTGTCAGTCAACCAACATGCCTTTTTGATCCTTTTTGCGTCTAAAGCGGATCCCATCTAGTTTGTGGAGTTGCTTTCACCAAAGCAAGAATGCATGACACCCTACCATGGTTGTGCCAACATAGCTGATGTCAACTGATGTCCATGTTTTTTTCTTCGAAGGCTGCTGTCGATGAAGCGGCATCACATGTTTTTGGGACATTTGTAGGAGGAGCCTCTGTTGATCCCTTGGATGGTGGTTCGTGTTTTGATGATGGCTACTCGACAGCACAGACAACTTGTTCTGACAGGTCATTGCATTGCCCTTTCCACTCTATCACAGAAAAACTGATTTTTTTCGGCAAGCAGTCATCTAGCATTGGTTTCGGTTTAGCTAAGATCAAACCACTCATGTCATGGGGTCCAAAATTGGGTTTTCTTCGTATCCATTCATTGGATTCATAGGTTCAAAAGTGGAGAACTTGACGGAGAAACCACACTGCCATGCAACAACTGGGCTCTGATTTCGAACTGGGCTCCCAAAGGGACTCCAGCCTGGGTCTCCATCCCCATGACACATGCAAGATGCGTGACATGGGGGGCTGTACATGACACATCCTGGGTAAATTCGGATCTCATTGACTAAACATGGACAAACATGTGTAAAAATGATGGTTACTACTAGAGTTACTAGAGGCCAAAATGGGCTGAAGTTCAGATTTTGGATTTATTGGACATTTGAACACAATTTGCCCAGAAACCAATGTTGACCCTGCGTGTCTTGAAAAAAGCTGGGCGGTGTTGCAAGAATCTGGACCTCGAAGGAATGCCCGCCCCCATTATTACTGGGGATGGATTACCATATTTTGGGGGAATAAACATCCATTAAGCAGCTATCTTAGGGTACCTTTACAAGGGTTTTGCCATACATAACCATATGTTCATCACTCGTACCTACACTTTGACATTGACATAGCAAAAGTGACGATCAAAAGGATGAATATGTGTGTCCTAAACTGTCTGACTCCACAAGTGCCCCCCCACAAACAAACAAACAAAAACAAACAAAACCAAAAACTAACTACAACTCGCTGAAATGATCCAAGAGACAATTTTAAATGTTTGCCCGAGGAAAGCTGGGGGATGCTGTGGGCTTCAAGGTCCCACATGCCTGGTCGCCAGGTGGATATGAACCTTTTCTGCCGCATGCTTCGCGAAACCGTGAGCTGACGCCTAAAAAACATCTCTCCGATGCAGCCTGGGGTGGTGGGTCTGGAGATCACCGGACCTTGAGCCCCGTATCACCATAGTGTCTGTCGGTTTACTGACCATTTTTTGTGTACCCACATCCTTGGATCCTCTTTCATCCTTTTCAATGAATTTTCAATATGGTTCATATCCAGTCCCAACCAGCTATCCCTGTCTCCCGAAAAAATGATCCAAAATGCGAGCGACGCCAACTTTCTGATACTTTGTGTATCCCCTTCTTATCATAATCTGGTTGGTGGTTTGGAACATGAATGGATTATTTTCCCCTTCCTATTTGGGATGATGATCCAATCTAACGAAGTCCATCATTTTTCAGGGGGGAAAATGTCAACCGCCACCAGTTTTCACCATTTCTCCGCGAGTTTTCACCAAAGACTTCAGGTTGACAGATGAGCTCCGCAAGACGTTCTCAAGTGAGCTGGAGGCGTTCTGCTGGGGCCGGGCGTTCCTAAAGAATGAGGGTATCTTGGGGAGACGAAAAGACACACACGAGAAACTGGGGGGTTGTATTTCTTGAACATTTTGGAGTTGAAGCGTTGTTGTCAACTGTAGTTGGCTTTGTTTGATTTCTGGCCTTTTCAGCGCTCGGAGCAGTGCTGGAAGATGTGAGGATTGCGGAAGAGTTACCACCTGGTGGTGACAACTCTTCGGGGTCCTGAACTAGTTCCCTGTACATCCAACGGGACAACAAAAGATCTTTGGAGGCACAGTCTATAGCAAAGCAAACAAAAAAAGAGGTTTGAAGGCTACTGAAACCATCTGAAACCATAGATGTGACTCAGTGACCCCTGAAGTAGGGCCCTTTTTAAGGCCGAAAGGTGATCAACAGATATCAGCAGCACATCGAGCCGGCTCGCAGCAGGGTAGGTCACTAGCTGAGCACTGACAAGTGGCTCTGAAGCAGCACTGAAACTGAGATGAACATCCCAGAAGACTTGTGTTGTATGCATATTGCAGATTTGAGTGAAATATGTGACTCAAGATTTGGATGTGTCCCTGACCCATTTTCGAAGACTGCACACTAGTAGACTAGGCAGTGGACAGGGAAATGAAACGAGGTCCACCAAAAACATGCAGAGATATTTCTATATATTTCTGAAATATGAACAACATCGACATCAGCTACTCAATTAGGATCCTAAATGGATCCATTAGGAATGAAGATCAAAATCCCATGGCTTCCATCCAAAAAAAAGCCGAACTCGGATCATCTTCTGGCCATGAAGCTTTTGGAGCTGCTGCTGCCAGGCGGGACTGAAGAATTCTTCGGTGATCCCAGGGGCTTATGGTTTTGTATTGAAAATGATTGAAATCAGGATAAATCAGGAGATTTCACAGGTGCCAAGTTCATTTTTGGGCTGGTTTTCATGAGGGTGGAAATCCCATGTCGACCGACACGGTCTTCACCGAGGAGAATTATGGACGCACTGAAGACTTGATAAACAACATTGTCTTGGATGCTGATTCGTGTGATCTCCGAACAAGTGCTATCTACATCTATTTACTGCTATTTGTGTTGTGAGTACAGTACCACTTATTCAGTCAATATGTTAGTATGTTGATATAACCATATATTATATATAACCAATACAATATATGTTAACATATTATGTTAATATAACCATAGTATAAAACCATATATACATATAACCATATATAACCTGGTACCATTTTAACAAAGTCCCAGGAATCCACCGGTGTCCAACTTGTGTCCAGGTCGCGGAGTCCGAATGCGGAGTTCCTTTCAAGGAGACGACCGGCCGTGGAGATGCTGAAGCTGTGAAGAGTTTCTTCCTGTGAAAAGTGGAGGACACAACTTTTGAACCCATGTACTCACTAATAAAATCCAATATCATATATATGTATGTGTATATATATATATACGTATATATATATATATTGTATAGTATATGTATGACTATGCATATATATATATAAAACTATACATATATATATATATAACCAGATAAACGTGATTGGATTCATGAGTCATGGATCCTATGAATGCGTTCTGAAACCAAGTCCCTTTCGTGACGTCGATGTCGACATGCTGAGACAACCAACTCGCCCAGTCATAAGGGTGTAACCATGAGAAAATGCGCTTTGAAACCATAGGATGTTGGGGGAAGCCTATATATTTGTCGAAGAACTACTATATGATGGGGGGTACCCTTCCAATAGTCATAATATGATGCTTAAATGGTACCCTCCCAATTAAACAATCGTTTGGGGTTTATTAATCCAGGGTTGACATTTAATTAAATGTACTTTTAACATGATATAACCATGGTAGCAAGGAATATTTACCCTTGTATTTACCTACATAGAAATCTCACTTGGACAATCTTGGACAGGAATGGGCATGGATCCTGCAGGCGCTGGGATATGAAGGGGAAACCGTGGCCCAGTGGTGGGTCGTTTAGTAATGTGGTAATACCATGGTAATGGTAGTATTAGTAATGTGTAAATGTGGTAGTTTAGATTTTTTTTTTCATGGTAGATTTGTTGCCATTTGCACCCTGAAAAACAGGACACATCTGGATCATTTCTAGGGATGAAACACAACGGGTAAAGCTGGATTCCAAGCAACGCCAATTGGAAGTTGCTTATGGCATTGGCGAACACCACGTTACAAAAAAGTCCTTATTTTCTGTGGGATATTACATACTCACCGGCTAGCAAGATGAAACATGGAAACATGTGATGTTTTCATGATTTTCTGGCACGAATATGATAGATTTCAGTGAGTCACCACGGATCCTCTCAACCACTGGATATTTTTTCTTCACCAGCGTTCCCAAACTCTCCGTATCATGGAGCGCTCCATGGCTGGCAGTGGGAAATCCCATGGAAACCATGGCGTTTCGTGAAGGGGAAAATGAGGGTTTTTTTTTGCAGCAAGCCGGATGAAGGGGAGATTTCTATATACCCTCTGGTAAACTAACATAGCTATTGAAAACACCCCATTTATAGTGGATTTTCCCATTAAAAATGGTGGTTTTCCATAGTTATGTTAGTTTACCAGAGGGTATTTCTATGTAGATTTTCCCTTAAACCTGGCGCCAATCTGGTATAATTACCATGATTTTTTTGGACATCTTTTTTTGATGTGCAAAGAACGGATATGCCGTAGGCAAAATCGTTGCCTTGGGAGGTCCAGAAAACCTGCAGACTGCATGAAGTGTTGCCGCATGGATCTTCCATTGTACCCCGTCCTATTCCCCTGGGAATGAAACCCAATATATAATTATAAATATATAATTAACTATTATATATATACATTTTATGTATGTATATATATAATGTATATATTATGTATATATATATATGTACATGTGTGTATACATATATATATATATATATATATGTACATGTGTATACATGTATGTATACATGTATGTATGTATATATATATAATATTATTATTTGGGACCCTATAATTCACAGCAGTGCGCATAATTGAACCGATCCGCCACTGAATCGTTTCTGGAAGTTGTTGATTACTGTACAGGGAAGTCAATTCTTGTGGGTCTGGCATGGCTGGTTGCCAATGAAAAGCAGGATTTCCAGACATTTCCAGACATTTCCAAAACTAGACTCAGATTAGAGATGATTTCTGAATGATTTTCAAGATATTTCAATATATTTCAATGTATTTCACGCTTCTTTCCCCATTTCTACAGGATTTACCCAGAAATCACAGGCCATTTACCCAGGGAATGTTCAGCTGTGGCAGCTGCAGGTTCAGATGGTGCCACGGGAGGAGATCTTGTCCATGTCCATGGTGAAAGCATGGTAGGATCGGGTGACATATGGATAATATATGGATAATATATGGATAATATGTGGATAATATGTGGATAATATGTGGATAATATATGGATAAGATATGGATAATATATGGATAATATATGGATAATATATGGATAATATATGGATAATATGTGGATAATATGTGGATAATATGTGGATAATATATGGATAAGATATGGATAATATATGGATAATATATGGATAATATATGGATAATATATGGATAAGATATGGATAATATATGGATTATATATGGATAATATATGGATAACATATGGATAATATGGATAATATATGGATAATATATGGATAATATATGAATAATATGTGGATAATATGTGGATAATATATGGATAAGATATGGATAATATATGGATAATATGTGGATAATATGTGGATAATATATGGATAAGATATGGATAACATATGGATAATATATGGATAATATATGGATTATATATGGATAAGATATGGATAATATATGGATTATATATGGATAATATACGGATAACATATGGATAATATGGATAATATATGGATAATATATGGATAATATATGGATAACATATGGACAATATATGGATAACATATGGATAATATATGGATTATATATGGATAATATATGGATAACATATGGATAATATATGGATAATATATGGATAATATATGGATAATATATGGATAATATGGATTACAGTTATACAACTATTGATTAATAGTGGGCAAATGATCGCCACTTTTGAGGGGTAAATGGGTTCTTTTACCTCTATACTTACCTCTATATCCTCTACATTTACATCTGTATTTACCTCTATCTTTACCCCCGAAACGTACCTGGGGTGGCCAGGGAACAACTCTGTTTAAAATTGGTGAAATCTGATATCTTTCATGAATAATTACTGTGGTAAATCCAATAATCAACCACCCCCAAAATCATCATTTTTATAGGTGCTATAAACCACCCCAAATGGTAGGTTTATTCTTGGGTTGCCCACATTAGAGGAACTATGGAAAATGAATAGGGACTAAAGATCGAGAAATTGGGGGCCGGGGTTGAACATTAACCCAGATCATGGCTGTAAGCTATACGTGAATCTAACGTATAGGTTTGTTTACTGATACACAATTCTTGGATTCTTGAGTGTTTCAGCCTGCGAATCTACTCGAACTGGTTTGAAATCGACAGAACGCGGGTATCTACTCGACATGGTG